TAAAACAGGAAAACTAAAATTTAAATTAAATGGTCACACTTAATCAGTATGCTCAATCTGCTTTTCTCCTGATGGTTCCATATTAGCATCTGGTAGTTATGATAAGTCTATACGATTCTGGGATGTAAAAGCAGTAAATCCAAAATTTTCAATTAATAAAAATAGTGATAGAGTTTGGCAAGTGTGTTTTTCTCCTGATGGTTCTACTTTAGCATCTGTCTGCGATGACAATTATATATATTAATGGGATGTTAATACAGGAAACCTAAAATCTTTATTAAAAGGCCATAATAACTTTTTTAATACTATATGTTTTTCTCCTGATGGGATAATGTTAGCTGTAGTTAGTGATAATTCTTTCATCTTTATAATGGAGGCAAAAACAGGAAAATGCTTATTGAAATTTGAAGGTCATGATGGAAATATAAATTCTATTTGCTTCTCTCCTGATAGCACATAATTAGCATCAGGTAGTTATGATAAATCTATCCTTTTATGGGACGTTAAAACTGGGCAACGAAAAACTTAATTAAATGGCCATTTTTATTGTGTTAATTCAGTTTGCTTTTCTCCTGATGGATCTTAATTAGCATCTGGTAGTTGGGATAATTCTATATGCATCTGGGATGTTAAAACCAGCCAGCAAAATGCTTAATTAAATGGTCATAGTGATTGCGTGTTTTCGGTATGCTATTCACCAAATGGTACTTTACTAGCATCTGGTAGTTATGATAAGTTAGTAATTCTTTGGGATGTTAAAACAACCGTTTAAAAATCAAAATTTGAAGGTCACACTCAAGCTGTGAATTAAGTCTGCTTTTCTTCAGATTCTTCTAAATTGGCATCTGGTAGTAAGGATATGTCAATTTGCTTATGGGATGTTAAAACAAGACAACTAAAATCATAGTTATTTGGTCATAGTTCCAGCGTTAGGTCAGTATCCTTTTCGCCCGATTGTAATATATTGGCATCTGGTAGTGATGATGGGTCTATATTTTTATGGGATATTGACACCATTATTTGACATATGATAGATATTATACTTAGTCCATGATATTCCAAAATATTTCAGATTAGTTTGCCAATAAACAATAAACAAATTAAAGTTCCAAGAGATATTATAATTGCATCATTAAAGTTTGAACACTATTAGGCTATAAGCACTTAATCAGGAGATAGAACTATTTGAATTTACAGTTAAATACTACCTTGGCTTTTTATAAGAGGTTAATTTAGTTCTGGGAGGATTAAATCATTACAAAATTCAATTTAAAATACAGGTTTTTCTATAGGGGTTAAATAAAGAACCTTAAATTGAAGAGCCAAATCTATGACTTGATCATGAGAGACTTCATTTTGATGAGTCATTTGAATATTATACTTATCATTACCTAGATTTTAAATGCTAGGTTTGAATATGTTTACTTATATTTTGTTTATTTTGTAGAGAGAATTCAACTTATTATGCAAATAAAACTTGGGTATCATAAAATTCATGAGAATAAGGTATAAGTACATACCTAATACTAATAAATTTCCATATATGGGAATTCACATTATTATTGTTTGTATTAATTCATTCTGTTTTTATAAAATTAGCAATAATCTCTATATTACACAAATTTGAATTCGCAGCATCATTTATCTAAAATTATAAATCTAGTGATAGTTATTTTTAAACTTTCAATAAACAAATTGTTTAAAGTTTGAGGGATATCTAAATAATCTTTCAGGTTTTTCATTTTATTTTCATATTTTTAATTCCTTGTTTTTTATAATTTCCAAAAATATAAATATTTTCTACTAATTCAAATCTTATATCTTTATCTATAGATATTATTATTTTGTTAAAGTTGCTAGTTGAGTTTTAATTTCTTGAACAATCATATTACTATTACTTAAGATATGAATAAAAATTATGTAATCAAAATGAAAAATATAAAAATATTATGATTTAGTGATAAACTTTTATATTATTTTGTTAGTTTAAATAGTATTAAATAAAATTTATTATAAGGTTGATATATATAATTTATGATTATCAATTTTTAGTCATGATTTTATTAAATATCCTTATTAATTTAGATATCAAATATTCAATAGGTTTCATCTTATTTTCTTTATTTAAATGTCTTTCTTGCTTTTCAATAAATTTTTAGAGCTTATTTATAACTTTTTAAGAAGTCCTTTTATTTATTTATGTTTTAGTATTTTCCAGATTTTCAAATAACATATTCATTCGAATTTCTTTAGTTATATATTTTATCTGTTTCCATTTTAGTAAATATTGGTATTTTAAATCATTTTATGGGTCTTATATTTCTTCAATAATATATTGCATAATTTAATTTTAATCTAAATTCCAATCATATAAATTTGTATATTGTAATAATATATCTACTAAGATGGAAATGAACTATTCGTCTAATTCTTTGAGAACTATATTCAGTTTATTTATTAAGATTTTAAATTTAGGATCAAATTCCTATGAATTTATGCTTATATAACTAGTCTTATCTACTAAGATTTAATTTTCAAATGAATAATTCTTATTTCTCTATGATAAAAAAAAGAAACTGGGGCAATTATCTTTTTTTTAAAATAATTGTTATAATTTTTTCATTTCTAATCTATCCTAATTCTCTATTTATTTATTTTGTGTTAAAATTCTTATCTTATAACGACCTTGAGTAGCAAATAATTTAAAGAGTTTAACACAATCAGAATCTTATTATATGTAAGTATTATTTTGATCTGGGGCTGTATATATTTTATTCTCTATTTAATCTTATGAAATTTTAGGTCTTCCTAGCTAAATTTTCATTTTAAGATTAAAGTGATCATTATTTTCCTTTTTTCCTCTTAACAATAAATAAAAAATTCTTTCATAAATAAATAGAACAATTTTTAGTGATCTGTTTTTCTATCAATGTTTTTAATAAATAAATAAAAACAAAAACGGATTAATCAATTAATTTCCTCTATTACTTGTATTAAAATTCAAATGATGTATATCAAATAAATATTCGATCAAATAAATTGAGTTAAAACCAAATTTAATCTGCATTTATACATTACATGAACTTATCAGTAGTGGAATTAAAACAAAAATCATAACTAAAAACACAGACTATTGATTTTATTCTCATAATAAGCAGTAAATAATCTGTAATGCATTTGAATGATTAAGGGGTATAATTTGAGTAGAATGAACAAGAAAGTAGATATATAGGAATCATTTTGTGAAAATGCTAACAACATGAACTCATTGATAGACAATTTTAAATAATATTAATAACTGAAATAATATTAATCAATCATATCAATAAAATATTGGGTACAATTATTATGGTTTCTTAACACCTATCCCAATAAATTTAATTTGTTTTCTAATTTATAGCTAATTTGACTATGTATATTTTACAATATTATATTAAATCAAGATTAACAGTTGCTGCCCAAATCAAACAAAAAGTAAATATGTGCATTCGTCCAATATTGATTATACTCTCTGATTTTAAAGTCAATTCAACTTAGTAAAGATAAAGTATATATGAATTTGAATTATAAAGTATTAATG